AGGAGAGGGGGGGGGGGGGGAGGGTTATTATTTATCAAACTTATTCTGTTTGTCTGTAAAATAACAATGGACAATTTATTATGTATCAAACCATAGGTTTCAGCCCTTCCTTCCTGAAAGGAAGAGTTTGGAATTCTTTTTTCTTTCTGAGGGTTCAGGAGATTGTATCTAGTTGTAAGAAAATAAAAAAATTGCCTGGGTAGCTTAAGTGGTGAAAAAAGAAGTTATATCAACAACAAAGAAGGCTCCCAGATACATTTATTGAGGCCAGAAAAGACCACTTCTTTTCCGGTGATAGACTTGAGTTATCCCGCATCTCCTTAGAGTTTTTTCTCTAATCATGTAGTAGTGATTAATTTTATAACTACTGGAGATCCAATATGGGGGAGAATATGATACATTTTGTTGTGGCTTTCAAGTCTTACGCCATTACTATGGGAAGATATATTGCACATGTTTGTCCCAAACTCAGAAGTTCAGTTGGTACATGACAGGGGTTTATGCTCCAAATTGCAAACAGAGCAAGACATGATGTTTGGTGGAGATGGGGGTTCGGGGGAGGGGAGGGGGTGCAAGGGGTTTATTCGCAGGGCCTTGAATGGTAGGGTGAGACTTTAACATAGTTGGATTTCCCTCTGAAAAGAGGAACTAAATACCAGGTAGTTCTCATATTTCGTTGAAGATATTGAGCTGTGCTGGAAGGGGCAGTTACACATGGACCAAAGGAAATAAAGAGGAAATATCTTCCAGAGTTGATAGGCTAATTATTATATGGAATGGAATGACAACTTTTGCAGGATTAAGCAAGAAATCCTAGCAAGAGTTAGTTCAAACCATATTCCTGGGAATATAATAAGTCCTATTTCATGTTATAAAATTGGCGATTGGAGACCGAAAGATTCAATGACAGATTAAGACTTAGTAGACCTCCATTGTCACAGAAGGAATGCCAGATAACATTCTTGCAAGTAAGCTCAAAATTCGTAAATTGAAAGAATGGAGCTTAAATAATCATATAGTAATATGGAAGTGATGAAACTTTTTTATTTTTTTTGAAACTGGTAACATTAGTGATGAAACTTTTTATTCTAAATCTAATCTCATAATTGGATACTATACAACAATAAAGATATGTCTGAATCAGGAGGAGATTTTCAGGAAGGCTAATCTTTGTCTAGAATTTAAGGAGTATGCCAGAAAGGAAGAAATAACATGTAGAAAAGATCCAAGGCATTATGGAAGAAATAACATGTAGAAAAGATCCAGGGCAATATCGCTTAAACAGGGAGACAGGAAGACGGAGTTCCCTTCAAGAATTGTCAATGTACAGAAGAGAAACAATACTATTTATCAACTGGTGGTGGAGGGAGGGATTATGGAAGTGCCAGAAGATATCACAACGGAGATTATCACGTATTATTTGAAGCTTTATTCTGAAATTGAGGATGGCGGCCTAACTATAATATGAACAATTACTCTTCGATTTCTACTGCGGAATAGGAGGTCCTAGAAAGCTTGACTTGATTATGGAAGTGCCAGAAGATATCAAAGGGAAAAATCACCTTTTATTAGAAGCTTTATTCTGTAATTGAGAATGGCGGCCTAGCTATAATATGAGTAATTACCCTTCAATTTCGACTGAGGAATAGGAAGTCCTTGAATGCTCAACTCTATGTGCAGTGGTCAAAGCTTCTGGACATGATTGGTGTGCCATGTGTTTTTTCATCAAATGTTGGGAGGTAGTCAAGACAAATATAATGACAACTACCAAAAATTTTCATTCCTAGGAGATGTTAGTAAAAAGCTTAAGTCCTACTTATGTGACTAAAATCCCTAAAAACAATGGAGCTAAGGAGTTGAGACACTTAAGGCCAATTAGGTGCACCTTTTTACATTGACACTTTAGGCCAATTGAAGTTAATTTTCAGCGCTATGAAAATTTCTTGTGAACAGTATGTAACTTGAATGTTTAATAAGCAAACACATTTTTACATTGAACGATTGTGAATTTTTCAAAGTATTGTGACTTTTCTTGAAGGATTGTGACTTTTCTGATAAGACACAATAAGCACATGTTCATGCTACCCTTTGCTAGCTATAAATTTAGAAGTTCCCTCTCATTTTTAAACATAGGTAACTTGAATGTTTAATTATTATAATACCCCAAACTAACCCTTCGGGGTGGCCCAGTGGTTTGGACTTGGGACTTCCATGTTGGAGTTCGAAACCTCTTGCCAGCGAAAGCAAGGGGTTTGCCTTCTAGGTCGAGCTCGTCGTACCAGGCTTGCCTAATTCGGGTTACTTCTCCTATGTCGTTTGTGAGCTATTGCATAGGAGCGGAGTTTTTACTCTGTGTGCACCCAAAGGCTAGCGGCTGCGGGTTTCCCTTGTCATCAAAAAAAAAAAAACATAATACCCCAAACTAAAAAAATTCTAACTTGGATATTAAATTACTATATTACACCCATTTTAGTATATTTGCTATGGTTTACATTTATATTTATTTATTTATTCATATTATATTATATTTAAAGCAGATACCTTTTCACATTAAAGGCTTGTGACTTTTCTGATAAGACACAAAATAAGCACATGTTCATACCACCCTTTGATGGCGGTAAATATAGAAGTTTCCTCTCATTTTTAAACATAGGTAACTTGAATGTTTAATTATTATAGTACCCCAAACTAAAAAATCTTAACTTGAATATTAAATTACTGTAATACACCCATTTTAGTATATGTGCTATGTTTTACATTTATATTTATTTATTTATATTATATTTAAGGCAGACATCTTTGCACTTTAAAGAGTTGTGATTTTCTGATAAGGCACAATAAGCACATGCTCATACTGCCCTTTGTTGGCTATAAATAGAGGAGTTCATTGGGCTCAAATTTTTAATCTTTCATCTTGGTTTATTATTACTCCCTTTGTCCAACCATAATTGTTCACTATTGACTTGACATCGAGATTAAGAAGCTGTAAATGATAGGGGTAATTTTACCAAATTACCCTTATTAAATATCAGTCATCTAAACATTGAAAATGAATAGTATTTAATAGCAAGGGTAAAATAGACACAAATTAGTAAAGTACTGATTGGTTTTATAAACTAGATAAGTATGTTTGGACATCCAAAATAGTATAGTGAACAAGTAAAGATGGAAAAAGGGAGTATTATTTTTGAATATTTTTTCTTCTCTCTTTTTTGTGTGTTTTCTCTCTATTAGACTTCTTTGATTTGATTTTCTATAAAAAAATTGTAATTTTATTTGGGCTAAAATATTTAGTTCAAATAGACACAAACCAGTGTTGTCAAAGGTACGTTGAAGCCCTGAAGTGAGGCTCAAAACGTGCTGAGCGCTTCGTCTCACTTAATGTGTGTTTTAGTGTCGTCATCAAGGTGAATGTGTAAGCTTTCCAATGTAGTTCAAAAACAGTGAACTTTCTTTACAAAAAATCATATCTTCCTATTGCGATTATGTCCAGCTTTTGTCATTCTTAATTTTCTTTGATCTGTAACCTGCGAAAAGCCTTTTGGGTCTAACATACCTAATATTCCATATGAAAGCTTTTATCTTCATAAATAATTATTGTGTTTTGTACCATACTTAAGTTGCATGAAATTAAGTGTTAGTATTAGTTTATCTATGGTACTACTTGTTTGTTTCTTCCATTTCGTTTATCTTATTATCTTGTTGTTGTTACTGGTTCCTTTTCATCTTTTCTTAAGCCAAAGTATATCAAAACCAACCTCTCTATTTACAGACTTCTACTCCTAAATTTTCAAAGTTCACCAACCAATTAAACAAATCGAACCAAGAAATCAGTAACTCTTTTACTCTGAAACATCAAAGTTCACTAATCAATTCAACAAATCGAACAGGATAAGCTTAATACAATGAAAAAAAACCCACAAAAATAGTGCTCAATCACTAACTAACAGGTCAGCTAATATTAATCCTCTATCTACTTTATACTCCATCTAAAACAGTTCCATACCACTACTCAACAATGTCTTAAAAGTACCATATAAAGAACAGAGCTTTTCTCATGTCAAACAAACAGAACCATACCATATGGTGCAGTCTATCTTTAGAACTGACTTCCTTTAACGCCAGCATACGTATTTTCAAAAGTAGCGAGGAACACTTAGCTGACGATCATGGCAAAGAGGCACCCTCTTAGAATGATCAATTACGATAGAAATATCAAATCAAGAACCAAAAGAATGGATTCTTTATAAGCACAGTACTATTCTCGAAACTTGTTTATATCAAACTCACACCAAAAAAACTTCGATAGATAAAGCAGAAAAAGATAAGAAAGCAGCGAATCCGAACACGGTAGTATCTTGGTTAGAACTTTCGATCATCATTAAATCGAGGTACTTTCCGACAATTACGTCTCTCTCAAAGACTTTTTCTTTCCTTTCTTCCCCAACTTTCATTCTTTAACCCCACTCCCTATACCCCCACTGTTCAATATCTATACTGTATCGATATTCTTACCTATACATACATACAGATTTGTCCCCTTTTCCAAATCCACCATTCATTTCAAAAGGACAAACCCCTCTTACCAATTTTTGAATTATTTCATACGTTAACTACCTGAGTGAAAAATTATGGCATAGGGATAACAAATGAAATATATTATTCTCAAAATTCTTGTGAAGAATTATCAAAATCACACCAAAAAAAACTCTGATAAACAATGATGAAGAAGACGAAGCGAAAGAACTCACATGCAAAAGCTTGAACGATGGAAACCAAGAGGCCAGAAGACGAAAAGGCAAAACTTTTTTCTTGCTGAAATAGTGGAGAGCTGAACCTTTTGAGAGCAGATTTCTTAGAGAACAATATGAGCCTGTGGGAATATGATATTTGCAGCACCCAAAAATGACAGGAGAAGCCAATTTTTTCCATGTTAATCTCTTAGGACAGACAAAAAGTTTTTTGAGGTTATCCATTGAAGCAGACCAAAAAGAACTCTTTGGTAAATCAAAAAAGTTGCAGCAGTCTAAAACATTAACTAACCACACAATAAATGTGAAATGTACAGCAGTATTGAGGATGATTAGATAAATCAATTGAGGCAGTTCAAGATTTTATTCAGGATGTACAAAAGGCAGCAGCAGCTGAAAATATGAAATACCTATATCACCCCTAAATCAGCTGGTTAGGCTTAGGTTTTTTTGACCATTAAAAGAAGAGTACAACTTTAAAAGCTAAAATGTACAAACACAACAATGTAGATAATAAGGGAAATGCCTAAAATGCCCCTAATCCAGGGTAAATAAGGAGCTCAACTCTCCCTTAGATATAAGGAGTAATATATATGCATATGTACATATACATATACATATTTGATATTTTATGTTGTTAATTACTGTGGTAAATAGTAAATTTTTACATAATTTTCATATAATATATGCTCTCTTTGTCCCAATTTATGTGGTACACATGGAGTTTCAAGAGTAACCAATTCTTTTTATAAGGTTTTAGATAATTAAGTTATTAATATAATAATTTTAAAGTAATTTTCACATAGTATATGTTGCTCCCTTTTTTCCAATTTATGTGGTGCAGATGGAATTTCGAGAGTCAATTAAATTTTTTAATATATGTTTAGATATTTTAATTCATTAATTATAATTATTATGATTTATAATATTTTTTTACGTAATTTCTAAATAGATAAATTATTAAAAATTCCCTTTAATAATTTAATACCAATTCCTTCTGACACTTGTGTTTTACATTGTTGTAGTTGCAAAATATTGAATTTCTATTGACATCTTTCAATTCAAAGAACCCTAGATATTGGAGTAAAGGATCTTCAACAAGGATGCTTTAGTATGTCATAGATTCTTATTCAAGACTTGTATCATTTCATGATATGAATAGCTCTGGAAACATGTGAAGTGACATTTTTTCTTCATATATTTTTTTTCACAATTTAATTTGCCGAACTGGAAAAATGTTGCCACTGCTGGAAACAATTTAGTGAATTTGTAAAACAATATTTGTATCCTACTGTACATTGGTGCAACAAGCTTTTTGTTATTTCTCTGCAGTTCAAGATGATTTTAGCAAGAATTTCACTGTTTGATCACAAAGTGGATTTTGTTTTTCACTTTTCTGTTCCTCCGTAATTGTTTATATTGGACTCCCAAATCAGACATTTGAATCCCTTTCATGTGGTCTCAACTTGCAGAGTGCTTCAGATATGGTTTTAGCAGATGACAACTTCGCCACCGTTGTTGCAGTAAGCTTATATTCTTTTTCATTAAATTCTGCTAAATTTTTTGTCCTTAAAATTATATTCCTTTGGTTAATTGAATTATGTTTTCTGTGCAGGCAGTTGCTGAGGGAAGGGCTATATATAACAATACGAAGCAATTTATTAGATACATGATATCTTCAAACATTGGTGAAGTGGTCTGTATATTTGTGGCTGCTATGCTTGGGATTCCTGATACTCTTGTGCCTGTGAGTTGGTAGTCTATAACTTCTAGAGTTCATCTCCGTTTTTAAGCATCTCAAGTACACATTTTTCCCTTTCTTATCTGAATTAAGCAGTCATATTTTGCTTACTTCCGCATCCAAGTAAGTGGCCTAGTGGTCAATGAAGTTGGTTGAGAGCCATGATAAGCGATGATAACTCAAGAAAGTATAATGTGGGTTAACATTTCAAGTGATTGTATATCTTTTTGAAGTGCAATCGGTTGGCTAGGAGGAGGCAAGTCTGCAGTAGGAGTAGGGTTCGGCGCATGACATGAATCAACTAGGACTAGTACTGGGTGCAGACGACAATGATAAGTCAGGAGTGGTGGCACTACAACTAGAGACGTAGATGTAACGGTAGATTCCTTAAAAGTCAAACAGGTAAGACCTGGGTAAGACCTTAGAGACATCTGAATTATCAGAAGATGTAGAGTAAGGTTGAGATTAAACGAGTGTGACATTAGCGGACATAATGTATCGACGAAGATCAGGTGAATAGCAACGATATTCTTCTTTAACTCGAGAGTAACCAAGAAAAAAATTGTAGGAAAGTAGTCAGAATAGACCTCATCCACCGGCGCATGGTCAGATCTCGCTGAAAAATTCAAACCTCTAATCGGCGCGTGAGGTGGTCTTTTTCGGTGGGTTGACTGAGGTTGTCGCTGGAGATTGAGAGACCCAGTGGTGATGGTGGTTATTAAACAGCACTTAACGGAATAAGATGATGACCGAAATCAGTCTTGGCAGTCGCTGGAAATTAATGCACGGTGACCTATGAAGGTTTCTCACCAATGCTATGATATTATGTGAGAAATATTGGAGAAAAATATTATTGAATTGTATATACATTATTACACAAAGATCCTATTATAAACCACTATAATACTGAGAATTATAAGAAAAATATTATTGAATTGTTGTATCTACATTATTACATTGAGACCCTATTTATAGACACTACATTGGACTCCTAGTCCTACTAGGATTCCTATTCCTATTCCTATTCCTATTAGTATTCCTATTCTAAGTAGGATTTGTATATACTTTATTCCTATTCTAACACTCCCCCTCAAGCTGGTGCATACAAATTATATGTACCTAGCTTGTTACATATGTAATTAATATGAGGACCGGTGAGCGACTTGGTGAAGATATCTGGAAGCTGATCATTTGACTTCACAAATTTTTTAACAATATCTCCTTAGACTATTTTTTCTCTGACAAAGTGACAGTCAACCTCAATGTGCTTAGTCCTTTCATGAAACACTGGATTTGATGCGATATGAAGAGCCGCTTGATTATCACACACAAGTTCCATTTCCTATTCCTATTCCTATTAGTATTCCTATTCTAAGTAGGATTTGTATATACTTTATTCCTATTCTAACACTCCCCCTCAAGCTGGTGCATACAAATTATATGTACCTAGCTTGTTACATATGTAATTAATATGAGGACCGGTGAGCGACTTGGTGAAGATATCTGGAAGCTGATCATTTGACTTCACAAATTTTTTAACAATATCTCCTTAGACTATTTTTTCTCTGACAAAGTGACAGTCAACCTCAATGTGCTTAGTCCTTTCATGAAACATTGGATTTGATGCAATATGAAGGGCTGCTTGATTATCCCACACAAGTTCCATCTGGTTGATTTCGCCAAATTTTAGCTCTCCTAGCAACTGTTTGATCCAAACTAGCTCACAACTGTTTGATGCTTTATTTGTTTCTCTTCTAAGCATGTTAGGTTGCCTTCTTTGTGATTCCCTAATTATTTGTGAATTTACTTTTTATTTAGATTTATTAGGTGATTTTGTTAATATGCAGGTCCAACTGCTATGGGTAAATTTGGTCACTGATGGATTGCCTGCCACAGCTATTGGGTTTAATAAACAAGACTCAGATGTTATGAAGTCCAAACCTCGGAAGGTATTATTTTCTCTCCTGTCGTGGTTTGATATAATATGATCCTTTTGTTTACATTTACTACTGCTCTTTTGTTGTTTTCCAGTTGTTTACTATAAGGCTTAGATGGTACACTAGCTTTGAGCTTACAAGCTCCACTTCGCATGCATTTATTTTGTTGTTTATGCTACCTTGCTGGCGAATCAGGCTTGTTATTTATATAAGTTTGTATTGATTATGGACTATGTGATAGTCTTGTTAAGTTAGGAGATCTTAATGGTCTATTATTTAACCCAAAGCATGAAGCATACATTTTAAGGTGTCATGAACAGAGACAGCCTGCCTGGGAACTGATGCGGAACTTTCTGTTCTTCCTGGTTTAAAACTAAACAGAGGCTATTTGACTGAATAATTTAATTCTGGAAGTTAAGTTCAGGTACTATTGCTTTACAAGTTTCTTACTCAACTTTCATTTCTTTAGTTCAAATTTATGATCTATATCATATATCAGAAAGATGTTGGAAGCAGAGCATCCAGATACAATCAAACCTCATTATAATGGCAGTGTTTGTCTCAAAATTTCATGGTTACTATTGTGAAGTGGTGCTATATATGTATACTGACAATTGATAATTAAATCTCATTTAGCTGTTATAAAGCATGCAAATGATTAGTTTAATGATTTTGTACCAAGAAGAAGAAATGTATGTGTTAATCATTTAACCAAAAATATAGAAAGAGTATGAATGTAAAAAAGGCCAACACATGTAGCCTTTCCTCGTGAAATTATGACCATAACAGATGGGCACCATTTAAATACAATTTCTTTCCTTTTAGATATTCACACTTGAAATTTACTGTGTGTGTGATATTAATGATGATTACCATAAATATTTTAATATTTTATTGTTATACAAAAGAAAAAATATTTCTTGCAACATATTATGGCGGGGTAATTTTACAAAGTGTGTACCGCTATAATGAATGATACTAATGTTATAGGTAGAATGTTGTTATAGAGAAGTAAAATATAACATGAAAAATCGATTTTGGAATAAATCAGGCAGTTATAGTGAAGCAATGTTATTACAAGGTTTGATTGTATAGGATGAGTGTTCATAATTCATGTGATCTTCTATCCTAGGTCAAACTTATATTTGATTGTAAGTGGTTTGTAACACTTGGAATAGATATTACATGAAAAACTTAGGGTCAAATTTCTGGTTAAAAATGATAAAGCATGACATGTTCTTTTTTAGGGTGATCACATTTAACAAATTGCCCGTTCACGAATAAGTCCCAATTGTCAAGGTATTTTCGTCTTTGGCACGACCTCTTTGGGCCAGCTCAAGGATTTTGGGCCTCACGGTTTTGTTCCCTAGTATTTTAACCCAAAAGGCGCCTTAAGGCGACCTAGATGGATTGGGTTAAAGCGTTACAATATCTTGGTAGTTTGGCCTGGTATTGGAGTTGGTATCTCTCAGGTGGTAGGGCATCTCTGCAAGGATGTCAAGTTTTTTAAGGGATTGAGCGTATTGCCCACGAACCGATGGTGGGTGAACTCGAAAGGGAATTTGCAGTGAAAGTTGTCGTAGTAAAATTTCATATCAGAATGGGAGGGAAAGGTTAGGGGATATATAAGGTGAGTTCATTATTCAACCATGAGGCCCACTAGCCTTGGGTATCCCAAAGAGTACATACCAAATTAGACAATACCTTGGCAGTTAGGCCTGGGCTGTATTAGAGTTGGTACCACCCCTAACACGGTGGTGAAACATGCCTCAGTGAATACACTGAGTCCACAAGGGAGGGTGAGTATAACAACCTATGGATCTGTAGTGGTTGAACTAGTACGGGGATTCATGGTGAAACTTGCCTTAGACAAATCTCACATAGGAGTGGGATGGGAAGTTGGGGTCTATATAAGGGTGTGTTTAGGATTCAATTTTTAAGGCCCATTTTACATTAAAGCTCATACTAAAATGTGAGGCCAAAGTCTTGAGGTGGCCTACAGGGGTCCAAAACAAACAATACCTTGGCAATTGGGTCTAGGCCATGGCAGGTGATATCAAAATCGGTACTTCCCCTAGTACGAGGGTGGGGTAAATCATAGCGAGTACGCGGAGTCCCTAAAAGAGTGTGTGTGTTGATTAAGTGGAGCAGCCTATGGAACAGCTGGCAATTGAATGCAGAAGGAATTTTGTTGTGAAACTTGTCTTAGGCGATCCATGTAGTCCAAATGTCTTGTGCTTGCCGGAGTGGTCGGGTTAATGCAGACAAACCTTGGCAGTTAGGCCTGAGTCACGACATTGTTTCTCCAACTTCATCTTTCGAGTAAGAGAGAACTGATTTCTTTGTGATATGTAAATGCAATCAAGCATAAAATAATTGGAGAATCCCTTCAGAGGGATACAGTGTTGTTGCATGATTATACAATGAATTTAACTAACAGGATTTAAGGATACAAAATTAAGACTGGTTCATCTGATGCTGTTTTAATAAACAAAGAGCACATTAAGCTAGACGAAGCCATCAACACATTTTGAGCCTCTCTTCAAGGCTTAAGCTTGCATTTGACAACACTGGTTATAGTACAGATAGCTTATGTACTTCACCTTTCTTAACAAACTTATATAAATTGTTTCTTATACATTGTTTTGCTAGAAAAGAATCATGGTCGTTGGTTGAACTTATGAATCACCCAAGTTTGCCAAGTTTGAATAGAATTATCACTCTGCTTTCCTAGTTTCTTCTCTCTCTCCCTCGTTAACAGTGTCCATCTTTCTGAAACAAGCTTTTGTAGCTTTTCCTTTCACAAATATCTTCGATGACATTTCTAGTTATTTGATTAAGTTCATCCTAAATGCTTGGGACACGTGCTTGTCAGCACGACATGGAAGGTGGAAATTGCACTTGTTAAATGGTTTTTTTTTTTTTTGGTATTGTTCAACTTTACTGGCTGTGACAGTGAAGTGTCAAGTGCCCTTACTATATTAAAGTTAATTGTGATCTTTCTGTTTTTTTATCTTCCATGAAATGTTTGCTCATTATCTTAATTTCTTGCCTCGCAAATGCGTTAATATTTTAACCTTTTCCAAAAATTAGAAAGCTAGATGTTGAAAAAAAGTCAAATCTGAAACCTCCTTTCACTTGTTTATGACAGGTCAATGAAGCAGTGGTTAGTGGGTGGCTGTTTTTCCGTTATCTAGTTATTGGAGGTAGACACATTCCTTATTTACTTTTGTTGCGTACCTAGTATTTGGAAGTTTAAGGCCTCTGTTTAGTCGAATAGTATATCGAAAATACTTCTTACTCGCTGAAGTGAAGGTGAATATTTTGAATGTTATTAGCATACAGTAAACACTGACATTTGGAGATAAAATTTGTTTGTAGTTGTTAGTTATATGATACCTGACCTGTCCTGCATTTGTTTTCCTTGACTTTTGTTGATTGTAATTCTCTTTCGTGCAGCATATGTTGGACTTGCCACTGTTGCAGGTTTTATATGGTGGTTTGTTTATTATGATAATGGACCGAAACTCCCATATACTGAATTGGTAAGTTCACTCGAAGATGTTCCTTATATTGATGGGGTTGGAGTAGGGGTGGCAAAATGGGTAAAATTAATGGTTATACGTTCGAGGATCGGGTATCCAATCATTTAAAAGTGGGTCAAATATGGATCAACCCATGTTAGAACATGAATAGGTTTATACAATCCTATTAGAATAGGAATAGGTTATACAATCCTATTAGAATAGGAATAGGTTATACAATCCTATTAGAATAGGAATAGGTTTATACAATCCTATTAGAATAGGAATAGGTTATACAATCCTATTAGAATAGGAATAGGTTTATACAATCCTATTAGAATAGGAATAGGTTTATACAATCCTATTAGAATAGGAATAGGTTATACAATCCTATTAGAATAGGAATAGGTTTATACAATCCTATTAGAATAGGAATAGGTTATACAATCCTATTTAGAATAGGAATAGGAATACAAATAGAAATAGGAATAGTAAATAGTATCCTAATTTGTAAAGGATTGTATTCCAGTGTCTATAAATTGGGTCTCAATGTGATGATGTAGACACAACAACAATTCAATAATATTCTTTTTCTATATTTCTCACAACCCATATTATCCATCATAAAATATGGATAAACCATGGATATCTACCAATTGCACTCCCCTTAAAAGTATGCAAGGGTGTAGGAACCTCTATAATGTACAATTATTTAGGTTTTGTTTGGTATGAAGAATTTTTTTTTCCAATTTTCTCATGTTTGGCTGGCTTAAATGTTTTGGAAAATATTTTTCAAATAGATTTATTTTCCTCTAATTTAAGGAAAATGACTTCCATACATAAAGCAAGGAATTTTTTTCAAAGCTTCCCTTAAATTAGACCCGACTTCTGACTTTCGACCTCAACCCATGACACAAGATCCTACTTCCAGCTCCAACCCAAGACCCTACTCCCGACTACGATCCCGACCCGACCTTTGCCCCGATTGGGATGCGACTTTCAATCTCGACTGCAATCAACTCATAACCTCGATCTAAAAAGAAAAAATGCTCGTAATCTAGGATATTTGTTTTTTCACATAATAAGAAGCCATGGATAATATTTATATCCATAATATCCGGTTGTTTACCTATTTTATCCATTTTCACTTTCCTTAGTTTTGGCCCACCCATATCTGACTCGACCCACCCATTTGCCACCGCTAGGTTGGAGTGTTGACAAGTACCTCTGTGGTCACAAAAGTTAGTACGTTATGAACCTGCAAAAGCTCCTTCAGCTTCAAACCTTTATTAATAAGAATCTACCTCCAACACCTCGTGAGCATAGAAGGGAAAAATTATGAGTTATGGGTGAGTCACACTTCTTTCTCTTCCCATTTGTGCATTTAGAGGGCTGCATTGAAGAATTGGTTTCATAGTGTTAATGTGTGGTTTGGGGGGGATATTCAGATTCAGGGACTTACGATTTTGAAAACTTGGGAGTATATCTCCTTGAATAGCCTTTAGATTAAAACTAACTCGTTTGTGTTTGTTTTCAGATGCATTTTGACAGTTGTTCAACAAGGGAAACAAATTATGCTTGCAGTATATTCAGTGATCGCCACCCATCTACTGTTTCAATGACGGTGCTTGTTGTTGTTGAGATGTTCAATGCATTGAATAATCTCAGTGAAAATCAATCTTTACTGTAAGCATGATACTGAAACTGTTGTTTATCTGATTTGTTACTTTTGCTTTGTTAAAAAGTATATCCCCACACTTTTTTATCCTTTTATTTGAGGAAATGGAAAACTGTTCTTTTAAAGAATTTCTTCAAAGGCAATACCTCCACCTTCCACTTATTGTGAACTCTATTGCTTAGAAAAACTTATATGCAATTACTTTTTCAGATAGAATTGTAGTAAAAATGATTCGCAGCTACACAGATTTAACATATGCCTTTCTTCTTCTGAACCTTGAAATTCTTGATGCATTTCATGGGAAGTTCTATTGGCATTTGTCCTACTGCTTCTGAATATTTAGCCGTTCTTACCAACTTTCCAGTTCTGTTCTTTGTCAAAATTACTTTTTTTTTGACAAAGGTAACAGTAATTTGTCAAAATTACTTTGTCTACAGTAATTATTTGATTGACATTTTATCAGAAATTCCTAATGTTGAATGCTTACAGCTTGGGTCTGAAAGTTCTTGTAAAGCCACTCAAAGTCCTGGCTACCTCACCGGCTTAGTAGTCCTTTTGACCATTCTAGAAAATACAGTAATTTTTAGGAGATTTCTTCACTGATCCATAACCCCTTCCCACATTCCAAAATCCCTCTAAAAATCTGTTTATTACAAAATATTACGTTAGGATTTTATTTAAGGTGGGTCTAGGTTTTTCTGCCAATTTTTTCTTAGTGATGAATATAATTTTTGTTCTTTAGATAAACAAATACCTTGTAATCTACACGTTTTGGGCCTCAATAAGTAATGTATGTACAAGGTCCAGATATTCTCCTTCTCAAGATGTGGATTGCATTCTGCATCTTGTCATAACTCATATGCTATCCAAAATTGACTTAACTTTTATAATCTTCTAGAGACATTGTTGCTGAAGCTCTATAGTGTTTCCAAACTCTGTTGTCTTGCAATATCTGTATAGAATGCCTTCTACCGAGACAGTATATTGAAATTACATCAAAGTAACTGTAAGTCCTTCAGGACTGACTATATTTCAATTTGTTCTTTAGTGTCATCCCTCCATGGAGTAATCTATGGCTTGTTGGTTCGATTATCTTCACCATGATCCTTCACATTCTCATTCTTTATGTGCAACCATTATCCGCTCTATTCTCTGTAAGTAGTCTCTTTTTCTTCTGACTTGAAGCATAATTTTTTTCAGTTGTGTGATGGCCTCCTTATGCTGGACATGTTAGTTAATGATCCTGATGTGTGAGAATTGCAGGTGACACCGTTAAGCTGGGCAGAGTGGACAGTTGTGCTATACCTTTCATTTCCTGTAAGAGATTTGACCATCAAAGTCCTTAACTGTGGACTCCCTTTCATATTTATGTTTGTGAACTGCAAAAATCGTTTTTTCTGTATCCTACTGGAGAATTCGTTTATCATAATTTTTGGAAGAAAGCGTGATTTGTATAACTGGAGATATGCTGTAGTTCAAATGAGGATAAGTATTGTTAAGATTGGTGCCACATGTAGCAAATGTGTCGTTCTTGGATTCAAAAAGGTGTGACCTTTCGCTGATCTCTATAGCTCGCGTCCATCATAAATGCAGCTAGAGTATGGGCCCACTTGCTGCCTAGATAGAGTGTCTCTGTTTAGTTCCAGGTATTATAGTCATAGATACAGTATAAGTCAGGCATCAGAAAGAATATGCTGGAGATATATTATCTCGGTTGCTGATTCTCTGTAACTATATCCTTAAAAACTGTGCATTATGGCCAAGTTCCTCGAGCTTAAAAAATGGAAGGGGGGCAAAAGGAATTGCTCATTATCAATTTCTATGCCTGTGTTCATGTTGACATTTTGTTTGACCTTTCCCCTTCATGTTTGCCAGTAGCTTTTGTTCTTGTGTTCTACTTCATAAATATTCTTGCCATTTATCATGAAGTGGATTTCCCCCTTCCATGACTACTGCTACTTTTTCTTGTTAGGTGATATTAATTGATGAAATACTGAAGTTCGTCTCTCGAAATTCAGGTAATAATATTCAACATGTTGTTCCCCTAAGAGGATTGAACTTTGAATTCTAGTATTACTGATGTATGTTTTTTGTTGGTGCCTTGTTTATAGGAATAAGATTCAGTTTCAGATTCAGACGTGCTGATTTACTTCCAAAAAGAGAGATACGTGACAAGTAAGCTCTCAGACTTGTACACTGAGGATGATTGTTGGAAGCTCAAGCACTAAATGTTGCAGCTGAAAGATTAGATAAAGTACACAACAAATTTTGTTCCAACTGAAAAGACATGTGTTGTTCATTTTTTCTGATTCAACTCTCATTTCATTAGATGAGAAATTTACAAGCAAGAATTTGAGAATTAAGGGCCCGTTCGGTCACTGGATAAGACTTGAGTTATTCATGTATAATGTTGCATAAGCTTTACGTGTTTGGTAGCATTTTTATGTCCGGTATAAAATTCAACACACATAATGTTATGTTTGGTTAGAAAATTAGAAAACCACATAACTAATGCATGTATAAGTTATGAGTTGATCTATGTATTATTTGGAATAAATTATATTTGAATAAAAAATACCTAAATAAAATAAGAAAATGGAATCGATTGGGTGGAGACTGTCACGCCCCGAGGCTACCCCGTAGATGTAACACGGGACCTAGGATCACGAGTGATCCGAAGCTAACCCTGAGTTTGGCATATATCAAGCATACTGAAAATAACTGAGTAAAACAGTGGATATCTGAAATGGGGAAAAACCCAACTAGTTTGAATATATATAACATACTAAGAGTTTAGTGATAACTGAAACAACCACTTAATTCAAGCTGAATCTACTACTATGTCTCAAAAGCCTCTAACTAAGTTGAGTTGTTGAGACATGCCCCAAACTAACTCAACTGAAAACTAAAAATAAAGATTGAAATAGGAAGATGTTTATTGTCCTCGAAGTATGAGGACTCACCACTGAAGTTGTTAAATGTGGATCGATCTAAGCGTGAGCTTCGGATGCTGTGTGCCTGAACCTACATCATGAAACGATGTAGTGCAAAGTATGCGTCAGTACTTGAAATGTATTGAGCATGCAGGATATAAATTTGCTAAGGTGAACAAAATGTATAAGCTGCGCAATGATATAATCTGGACAAGGATATTTACTGAAGTATAAATGAAAGATAAATTGAATGCAATGACCAAGTACTAATCATGAAGATAACATGCGGAACTGTATACTGAAGTAACTGCTGAAAACCAGGTCAATGCACTAAGAGTCTGATTGCGGGAGCTACTATTAACTGACATAAACTACATTAATTAAACGTGGAGTTTGATGTATAAACCCCATCGAGAGGACCCAATATACCTTGTCGGGGGTAAAGGCATGACTGTGGCGTGATCACTAAATCTGATGCCCAATAGAGGGAACTTATAAACCTACACAGGCGCGTAGTTCTGGGACTATGAGGGTACGCTGAACTCTACTCCAATTCGGTGCTAAGTCTACTCCCAACTGGATGAATAGCTAAAATGCACTAAATACTGAATAGCGCAAAATACTGACATGCTTACTGAGAATGCAACATTTATATACTGGGAATGTGACATTCTAAATCTGAAGCATGATTTTCTGTCTAACTAACCTAGCAAGTATAATTCATGAACTAACAGAATTTACACAAACTAGGGTTCTAAGTTTGATAATAGGAATTAAGCAACGTTTCCAAGAAAACATGTTATTTAGACTATGGATACTATAACAACTTAGATCACCACAATTCCTAATATTTTACAAACCCTATGTCTAAACAAGTTATGTGGAATCCAGGATCTGACTCAATTCTAGGGATTTAGTGGATGAAAGGAACCAACTAGTGAAATCTAAAACAGTGGATATCTGAAATGGGGAAAAATACAACTAGTCTGAATATATATGACATACTAAGAGTTTAGTGATAACTGAAACAACCACTTAAGTCAAGCTGAATCTACAACTATGTCTGAAAAGCCTCTAACTGAGTTGAGTTGTTGAGACATGCCCCCACCTAACTCAACTGAAAACTAAAAATAAAGATTGAAATAAGAAGCATATCTATTGTCTTCGAAGTATGATGACTCACCACTGAAGTTGTTAAATGGGGACCGATCTAAGCGTGATCTGGATGTTGTGTGCCTGAACCTATATCATGAAACGATGTAGCGCAAAGTATGTGTCAGTATTTGAAATGTACTGAGCATGCATGATATAGATATGCTAAGCTGAACAAAATATATAAGTTGCGCATTGCTATAATCTGGACAAGGATATTTACTGAAGTATAATTGAAAGATAAACTAAATGCAATGAGCAAGTACTAAACTCATGAAGATAACATGCGAAACTGTATACTGAAGTTACTGCTGAAAACCTAGTCAATGCACTAAGAGTCTGACTGTGGGAGCTACTATTAACCGACGTAAATTACATTAGTTAAACGTGGAGTTTGATGTATACACCCCAACTGAGAATGCAACATTTATATACTGGGAATGTGACATTCTAAATCTGGAGCAGGATTTTTTGTCTGACTAACCTAGCAAGTATAATTCATGAACTAACAGAATTTACACAAACTAGGGTTCTGAGTTTGATAATAGGAATTAAGCAACGTTTCCAAGAAAACAAGTTATTTAGACTATGGATACTATAACAACTAAGATCACCACAATTCCTAATATTTTACAAACCCTAGGTCTAAACAAGTTATGCGGAATCAAGGATCTGACTCACTTCTAGGGATTTAGTGGATGAAAGGAACCCACTAGTGAAATCTAAAACAGTGGATATCCGAAATGGGAAAAAACCCAATTATTCTAAATATTATAAACATACTAATAATTTAGTGATAACTGAAACAACCAGTTAATTCAAGCTGAATCTACTACTATATATGAAAAACCTCTAACTGTGTTGAGTTGTTGAGACATGCCCCCAACTAACTCAATTGAAAATTAAAAATAAAGATTGAAATATGAAGCATGTCTATTGTCCTCGAAGTATGAGGACTCACCACTGAAGCTGTTAAATGGGGACCAATTTAAGCGTGATCTGAATGATGTGTGCTTGAACCTACATCATGAAACGATGTAGCGCAAAGTATGCGTCAATACTTGAAATGTACTTAGCATGCATGATATAGATATGCTAAGCTGAAAAAAAAATATAAGCTGCACAATGATATAATCTGGACAAGAATATTTACTGAAGTATAAATGAAAGATGAACTGAATGTAATGACCAAGTACTAATCACGAAGATAACATGCGAAACTGTATACTGAAGTAACTGTTGAAAACCAGGTCAATGCACTAAGAGTCTGACTGTAGGAGCTGCTATTAATCGACATAAACTACATTAGTTAAACTTGGAGTTTGATGTATACACCTCATCGAGAGGACCCAATATACCTTGTCGGGGTTATAAAGGCACGACTGTGGTGTGATCACTAAATCTGATGCCCAACAGAGGGAACTTATAAACCTACACATGCGCGTAGTTCTGGGATTATGAGGGTACGCTTAACTCTAGTCCAATTCGGTGCTAAGTCAACTCCCAACTGGATGAATAGCTAAAATCCACTAAATATTGAATAGCTCAAAATACTGACATGCTTACTGAGAATGCAACATTTATATATTGGGAATGTGACATTCTAAATCTGGAGCATGATTTTCTGTCTGACTAACCTAGCAAGTATAATTCATGAACTAACAAAATTTACACAAACTAGGGTTCTGAGTTTGATAATGGGAATTAAGCAACGTTTCCAAGAAAACATGTTATTTAGACTATGGATACTATAACAACTGAGATCACCACAATTCCTAATATTTTTTCAAACCTTGGGTCTAAACAAGTTATGTGGAATCAAGGATCTGACTCAATTCTAGGGATTTAGTGGATGAAAGGAACGCACTAGTTAAATCCCACATACATGGTGATAAAAATATGGAGAAATCCTTTGGATTTCGGGGCTGAACTTGAAGAAGACCTCTGTTTCTTCTTGGGGAAACTATCGCCGCTATTCTCTTCTTTTCGTTCTAAGTTAGGTGATTTTAGGAGAATGAGAGTTTTAGGTAGTTTTTGACTAGTTTGGTAAGCTTAGACCGAGTAAAACAACGTAGTTTAAGCATTACACGACATAGTTTAAGTACCAAACACATTGGGAAAAAGAACGATGCGACCCAGACTTAAATACTGCCGAACTCACTTCAAGAGGGGCTTCACGGGCCATCATGATCATGATGGCCCGTCTATCAGCTCGTGAAGATGCCCTGCCTGACAAGGCTTCACTAAAATGGGCATAACATTTTACTCGTAGGTTGGAATTAGGCAAACTCGGTGGTGTTGGAAAGAGGATTCTATGATCTATAATTTGATAGGTTATGGGCCACCAAATTTATTTTGTGCTGAAGGATATGACCGTTTGAAGTTGACCCTAAACTCTAAGTCTGACAAGTCTTCTTCACGGACGACTTTACAGTCTATGTGGAGCTCCACGGACCGTTTAGATGTCTGTGGTGCTTAACCAGTGAATTTAGGGGTGAAACCTCACTTAAAAGCTGACAAATTGACTTCAAGACAGGCTTCATGGGCCTTCATGAGCACCACGACCCGTCATGTGGGTCGTGAAGATGCTCTGCCCGATAGGGCTTCACTAAAATGAGCATAACTTTTTACTCCACGCTCGAAATTAGGCAAACTTGGTGGAATTGAAAAGAGGACCAAAATACCTTTAATTTGATATGTCGTGGGACGCTTAAATCATTTTGTGTTGAAAGATATGATCATTTGAATTTGACCAAATTAAACCTCAAAGTCTATCAAGCCTCTTTCACGAGCTATATCACGGCTCGTGTGAAGCTCCACAGACCGTCTAGTGGTCCGTGGTACTTCATAGAAGCCATGGTGGTTCTGTGTCCCTCTCACGGCTCGTGTGGAGCTCCATGGACCGTTTAGTGGTCTTTCACATTTTGCTGGATGAACAACCACGAGAAGGGTGACGGGTTGTGGTCCTCTTCACGGCCCGTGGACCCCCTCCAAGGTTTGCCCTTATCTCTTGTTCAATCTTAGTTCTGAATTTTTAGGTGTGACAATATCTCCCCCTTGGGATCATTCGTCCTCGAAT